AATAAATGAAAAAATAAGACAAACAAGTTTCTTTTAATTATACTAAAAAGATTAAAAATTACTTTTATTTGTATCTAAAAATTGTATTTAACACAATTTTCAAATTGCTTTAACATGTAACTCATTCTAGCTGAATGCTATATAGAACATACATATATGATTATAACAATAAATAAATAAATAATATTCGATAAAATATATAGTAATACTTCAATCGATAGATTTTAGCACGATTTGCAGAGTGGAATCCTCTATACGTACGGATACGCCTCTAACATACCGCTACTGGCCAGCTTAATGGAGAAATCAATAGCGGGAGAGCAACACGATTACAGGTCACTGGCTCTAAAGATAGATCTGTATGATGAACTAAGAGAGAATAGGTTGGTCTAGCCAACAGGAGTGAGCTGGGCCTGGGCCCGCCCTGAGGTGGCGGAGAGGGCTATCATCACATTGGATAGGCTGGGAGACTGGCACTATGATGCGATCTTCATATCCGCCGACGTACTGGAGTGGGCCATGAGGCAGGAAGGGCACTTGAGGGTAGGGGGAGCTGGGGGTGAAGACTGGCACCTCCACGATGCTAGCGTTCGGATGGTGACGTTGAACGCGAACGATGGGCCTCAAAGTCTGGGGCGTGATGCGTGGATCGCGTCCCAGTTGACGTACCCTCTGGCTCAGGTAGTGGATACTTTTTCCATCGCGACGCTGACGGGAGGGGAGACGCGTGAATTGTTCATGCGTACTGCAGGACTTGTGGACATCTCGGACATTGCGCACCGAATCGTGTTCGTGCTGCCCACGAAGAGTGAGAATCTTCCAGCAGAGTGGAAGACAACCACAGTCTCAGAATTGAGGGCTTTTATAGCCGTTCTGTTGGAAATGGGAATTACACGTAGACCTACGCTTTTCAGTTGTTGGTCAACAAACTATAGACAGATTCCATGGTTTGGGCAAATGTTTAGCCGAAATAGATTCCAATTGCTTTGTAAGTTCTTCCATGTTGTGGACAATAACACTTTACCAGCACATGATAATACTGAATATGACCCAACAGTAAAATTTGAGCCTGTTGTTACCCATGCCAATAATAAATTCAAATTTGATTCTTCGCCAAATCAACATTTGAGCATAGACGAATCGTTAGTAGGCACGAAATGTAGAACTTCACTGACACAATATCTGCCAAATAAAAAGCATCATAGATGGGGCATCAAATTTTGGATGCTAACCAATGCAGTTACTCATTATTGTTTATCATTTTTTTGCTATAAAGGAGCCCAGAATCAACGGGACAAAGAAGAAATAAAAGAAAACAGTCTTAGTCATGTCGTCATACACAAATTATTGAATATGGGAAATTATTTTATGAAGGGATACCATGTGGTAGCTGACAATTTTTTTACAATCCGCTTTTACGATCCGCACGGCACCTGGAATAACATCATCGTACAAGCCGTTGTAAAAATCTCAATAAAGAATTACGAAGCAACGGTTAAGTTATCATCAAACCAAATAATTCTCCAATCGGGACAACACTGCGAACTCCAGACAGGTAGCTGCCTTGACTCTGAAAATAGATATACCTACTGGAACACGCTCCCCACGGACTACTGTAACTTCCGCAAGTACGACGGGAAAGCAGAAAGATTAAGCCCCAAGAAACGTCAGGGACCAACAATATATACGGTAACATCAGGAGAAACCGTATTTGCACTGACACAAACCACCTCTACCACTCTATGCGGATTTGCCCTAATGAAAACAGAGCATCCCAAACTCTTCATCATTGACGTGAACAAAAACGGAAGATTCAAGCCGGCGTCGGCAATTTCAGTAAATAACCTGGACATATTTACCTATGTTAATTCAAAATTTATATATGTGGATCGCGGATTATAGACGACACTCCTTATTCTTGCAAAAGTCAGTACGAAGCGAACGAAGACTCCAGGACCAGGTTTCCTGTCCTGGGGATCAGCACAAGACTGCAAAGGAGCTTGCCGGTTAGTGTTAGGTTGACCCCTGATGACGCCCCGGCGGCGGAGGATGGCGACGATGAGTCGAGGGAATGCCGGGCGCTGGCTGGCACGACACCACGCGAAGTCGGCGGATCCTGGACGGCTAAATCCTCTTGTTTCACCTTCACGTGGGGCTCTCTGGACTTCCGCTCTTTCGGGGGCGGAAGACGAACGAAACAAGGGGTACCAGGACGGGACAACAACGATGACCACGGCGAACTCAGAAAATAAAAATGGACAGTACAACGAACGGAAAGGACACTTACCGCGCAGGGGAGCTCGGAGGCCCCAGTGCCGGTCCAGATTCTGGTGGTAAAGCGGGCCAGGCTGGATCGTCATCAAGCAACCGCGGAGCGATCGTGAGGACAAATTCTCCCGGGGAGACGAGGCAGGAGCCAATCCCCCCCGGTCGAGAGGAAACACCGGAAACCATGGAGGTGGAGATCAACCCCTTCATGGCTGAGGATGAAGACGGACCGTGCCTCGCCTTATACATACCTCGCCGCAGAGATGGAGCGACGAGAGGGCGGCGCAACGAGGGACACGAGAGCTGAGGCCTCTGAGATCGTAGAAGAACTCAGAGGAATAGCTGGCAAGGTAAGGGAGCAATACAAGTCGAGTAATAACCTCCGCAGGGATACCAGGGAAGACGCGGAGCTGCAGATCATGCATATTCTCAAAGATACGAGAACCATGGTCAAGGAGGGGCGAGAATTCGAGGCCCTGAGCGCCTGGACTCTGAGGATGACGGAAGCAGTCTACCCGGTCCTCGAGAGCAGAGGCTTCAGCGGGGCGCTGGCGAAGCTAATAAAAGACACCATCCTCGAGGGGAGGAATGGCAGACAACGCCAAGACAGAAGAGGGAGGCGGGCCGCAAGAGGAAGCGCGCCCTGCCCGAATCTCCACCTCAGAAGACAGTGTCGCCAGGCAATAAGTCACCCCCGGTGAAGAGGAGACCGGAGGAGATAGCCGTTGCGAGAAAGAAGACGCCCGCGCCGCCCCCAAAATCGCCTGCTAAAACAACGAGCAGGCCGGAAAGAGGCGAGGCGGTACTAAAAATAAAGGCCAAGGAAGGCCAGGACTTCCGCGCCACCTTCGCGGAGGTCAAAGAGAAGGTCAACATAGACGGCATCGTCCTAGTCGGAGTCAGACGATGCTGATACACGGAAGATGTGCTCATACACACAAAGGACGCGGCTGAAGCCAAAAAGCTCATGCTCAGAGCTAAGGCCGCCGGTGTGGAGACGGAGGTACTCGGAGGAAGGGCTGGACGTCTCCACATTTCGGGGATAGACGGACTCCTGACAAAGGCAGAGTTGGCCACGGCCCTCTCCAAGCTCATGGCAACGGAAGTGAGCATTGTCTACATCCGGGAGGGATTCGGCGGCACGCAGACGGCGTGCGCCGAGATGAGCGCCGAAAACGTAGCGAAATGTGTCCAAATGAAGGACATCCGGTTAGGGTGGAACCGGTGCCGCGTCCGGGAGTTCAAGGCCGCGGGCGAGTGTTTCCGGTGCGGCGCGATGGGACACTTCGCCCGAGACTGTAAGGAACAGAGTAAACGCTGCTACAGGTGCGGCAGCGAGCAGCACCTGGTCAAAGACTGCGAACAGACCGAAAAGACAGTTAGGCAGCCGACGCGGAGGCGGCCTCCAGGCAGGGGCACAACGGAGTGGCCCGAACTGAGCAGTGCGCGGTCGAGTAAAAGTGCGGCGAACGTAGGTGCGACGAGTGCCGGGATCAGTGCTTCGAAAAGTGCAGTGTCCGGTGCGCGTGTGCATCAAGAGAGAAGAGAAACGGCCAAGACCAGGAGCGTCGGGACGCAGACCGACGTCTCCTGCATCGAGGGATCGCCGAGAAGGACAGGATGGGCCGACGCGGTGAAGAGGCCACCACCACCACGGAGGGAAGGAAGGACGTCAAGGCCGCCGCCGAGGAGGGAGAGAGCAGCGGAACCAACGGCGACAAAGAAGACCGCAACACCGAGACGACGACGCGCCAGAGGAGTGGCCGTCGTCGTACGACACGAAACCACGAAATACGAGGATGCGCTCAAGGCCATCCGATCTCACGTCAGAGATGAGGAAATGACGGGGATCAAATCTGTGAGGAGAACCATGGCTGGCGAGATCCTGTTCGAGCTGGAAGAGGACGACCGAGCGAAGCCGTGGAAGGAAAGACTGGAAAGCATTCCAGGAGTCGCAAAGGTCCGGCGACTGGGCCCGCGCGACGCCGTAAAGATCAGGGGAATAGATGCCCTCACAGATAACGAGGCCATCCTAAAGGCGGTGTCGGACACCACCGCCATGACTGAAGAGGAAAACGAACAAGCGCAGACAGTCAGGGCTATCCTCGAGCTCTGGCAGGAGCGCGTTGTAGTTGCTTTGTTGCCCAGCCGAGCAGCCAAAGAGCTGTGCAGCAAGGATAAATTTAAAATAGGATGGTCCAACGCCAGGGCTAGGCTCCTCTCCGGCCCTGGAAGGAGATGCAGAGCATGCGGGTGGTACGGCCACTCTGCTGAAAAATGTCAAAGGAAGGAGGGACAAAACCAACAACCAAAGAATTAAACACGAATGCCCAAGGTTATACAAACAAACCTGAACAATTCGAGAGCCGCACAGGACCTGCTGGGGCAGGTCATGCAAGAGAGGGGTGCCACGGTAGCCGTCGTCTCGGAACCAGCCAGTGCGAAGAGCGGCGGTGGCAGATGGTACCTCAGCGGAGATAAGAAAGCCGCCATCTGGGTGAGGGACCCGGGTGCGCGGATCGAACTTGTGTGGAGCGGCGCTGGCGACGTCATGATAAAGCTGGACGGTCGGGGGATAGTAAGCTGCTACTTCTCTCCGAACCGTACTAGTCGGGTGACTTCAACGCCCGTTCCCCGGCGTGGGCCGACAGAAGAAACGAGCGTGGACGATACATAGAGGACGGCCTGGCTGCGGCGGATTGGGTCTGCTGCAACGTGGGCGCCGGGCCGACATGCGTGAGGTCGACGTGAAGTCCATCATCGACGTCACATTCGCCACGCGGGAGATGGCCGATGGTGTAAAAAACTGGCAGGTGTTGGACCTCGAGACGTTGAGCGACCACCTGTACGTCTCCTACGAAATAGAGGACGGGAGAACCTCGGGGGCGCAGAGTCAGCGACCCCCCACGACATGGAACCCGAGAAAGATAAGATGGGGGAAGCTGGATCAGGAGACCAGAGATCTGGCTCTGGATCTCACAGACGACGCAGCCGGCGATCTGAGGGACGTACTCAGCGCCATTTGCAACAGGGTGATGCCCAAGAATAGACCGAGCAGAAGAAGGAACGCCTACTGGTGGTCGGATGCGATCGCCAGCGAGAGGAGTCCAGAAGGACAAAAGAAGGAACATCTGCACCCGAGACGCGCAGGAGTATAAAGAAGCGCGACGCAGGCTGCGGAGGAGTATCGCGAAAAGAAAGGACGAAGTCTGGAGGGATCTGCTCAAAACGGTGGATCAAGACCCCTGGGGGAAAGCATACAAGGTGGTCTGCGGAAAGTTGGCAGGCAAGAGCAGGACGACGCTCGAGGAGGACGAACACCGACGGGTGCTCAGCACGCTGTTTCCCAACGGCCCACTGCCGGAGGAACTCCGTCCACAACACAACGAATCAGAGGACGACAAGATAGGAAGAAGAGTTACCGAAGACGAAGTCTTCAAAGCGGCGAGAAGGATCAAGCGGGGCAAGGCACCGGGCCCCGACGGGATCCCGCCCGACATCGTAAGGTACATCGGCATGAGGAGGCCGGATGTGTTCAAGAAGGCATTCGACGACTGCTTGGACGGGCTGCGTTTCCCGCCCGAGTGGAAGAAGAGTCGAATCGTACTGATCCCGAAGGGAGAAGAAGTTCCGGCCCATCTGCTTGCTGAACACCACAGGCAAGCTGTTCGAAAGGGTGATGGCGAACAGGATCGCCGGATGGGCCGAGGAGAAGCTGAACCGGAACCAGTTCGGCTGCAGACCGGGGCTTTCGACCATAGAGGCCCTCGAGGAAGTGGACGCCTACGTCGAAAGGGCGATGTTCGAGAGGAGGGGCGTGATGGCAGTGCTTCTGGACATCAGGAACGCCTTCAACGAAATCACATGGCCCGCGGTGATGAAAGGACTGGAGGACATGGACATGCCGCGGTACATGCAGGTACTGGTGAGTGACTATCTTAGTGTAAAGACAGGGACATCGTCCTGGGTCCGCTGCTCTGGAACATTGCGTACAACAAGATACTGGCCAAGGGGGAGGGCAGTGATGTCAAGATAGTCTGCTACGCCGACGACACCATCGTGATGGTTAAGTACACGGACGTCGCAGAAGGAGCTCCACGGCTCGCGGAAAGGGTGGAGGACGTCATGGTCGAGATCGAGAGTCTAGGACTGACGATCGCGGAGAACAAGACGCAGGCGATCATTCTCGACCGGAGGAGGGGCATAATCCCCCCCCCCACACACAGAGATCACGATAAGAGGTAAGGTCGTCAAGGCGAGCGCGGAGGTGAAGTACCTGGGCGTGACGCTGGGAGAAAGAATGCGTCTCCTGAAGCACGTGATCGCTGTCAGCGAGAAGGGCACGACGGTCATGAGCAAGATCGGCCGGATACTGCCCAACCTGGGGGGACCCAGGGAGCTGAGGAGGAAGCTGCTGGCGACCGTCGGGATGTCGGTCGTCATGTACGCGGCTCCCATATGGGCCCCATGCACGAGATCGAAGATGTTTAACGCCTGGCTGGACAAGGTCAGGAGGATGTGCGCGCTGCGAGTGAGCGCTGCCTACCGTACGGTGTCCACGGAGGCAGCGGGTGTGATCGCCGGGATCCCCCCGTTCGAACTGGTTGCAACAGCCAGAATGCGGGAACACCGCCGCAAGAAGGAGCTGAGCCTGACGGGTACGGTGACCCCGAGGCACAAAGCCAGGATTAAGAAGGAAGAGGAGAGAGAAACAATGAAGGCCTGGCAGAAGAGATGGCAAGAGCCATCTAAGACGGGGGAGTGGACGAGGCTCCTCATCCCGGACATAAAGAGATGGGTAAAACGAGCACACGGAGAGGTGAACTACCACCTGACCCAATTCCTCACGGGTCACGGTACGTTCAACCTCTATCTAAAACGATTCAAGAGAAGACGCAGCGACAGGTGCAGATACTGCACCGCAGGTGAAGCTGACAGCGTGCGCCACACGGTGTTCGACTGCCCCGGTTGGAGACAGGAAAGGGACTGTATAGAATGGAATGTCGGGGGCGGGCCCCTGACACCGGAAAACATCATCGCCGAGATGTTGAAGAGCAAGAAGAGATGGGCCAAGATCGAAGGCGTCGTCCACAACATCCTCACCAAGAAGGAGGACGACGACCGGAGACTCGGCTACTGACCGCAGTGATGTGTGAAGTGTAGTGAAAGAAGAGTTCCCGCCGCCCTTCTACAGCGGACGGAGGAAGAATTTCCGCCGCCGATTTACAGCGGACGGACAATTGTATATATTTGAATTGTACATTTAATTCAATCATTTACAGGACAGATTTCTTTGTTGTATATAGCTTCAATGAAATTGTATATATTTACGAGTGCGAGGACGTGTGAATGAACCTTTGGGGTTTTAGTGCATGCGAGGATTTCAAGGGTGCGGACTTAATTGTGTGTGAATGTGTTTGTACATAAGCGATGGACCAGAAACGGCCAGAATTGGCCAACAGGAGAGGTGTTGTGTTCCATCAGGACAACGCCAGGCCACACACGTCTATAATGACTCGCCAGAAACTCCGGGAGCTTGGTTGGAAAGTTTTGATGCATCCACCATACAGTCCAGACCTGGCACCAAGCAATTACCATGTTTTTCTTGCATTGCAAAACTTCCTTAATGATAAGAAATTGGCATCAAGAGTTTTTCGCCAATAGGGACCAAGACTTCTATGAGAGACAACAAATACCCTCTGATCAAAAAGTACCCGGAATTTGTCATTTAAACGAAGCGCGCTGAAGATATTGTCGAAATCATTTGTTTTCTAGGCTGGTACATCTTTCATTTGTTTACACATCAATTTTTAGCGCAATCTGTCGGATAGTTTGTGCGTAATAGCCTTGTAAACAAGTCATAGTTTGGTGTACTCTGCGAATTTCGATATGTCTCATTTAGTGGAGCAGAGAGTCTGCCTGAAATTTTGTTTTTCGAACAAAATTTCATGTGCGAAAGCATTGAAAATGTTAGCTGTAGCTTATGGAGACTCAACAATGTCAAAAACACAAGCATACGAGTGGTACAAGAAGTTAAAAGATGGCCGTACTGTGGTTGATGATTTGCCTCGTTCCGGTCGTCCATCTACCTCTGTGACTGACGAAAATGTTGAGAAAGTTAAGGAAATTGTGCTCGAAAATCGTCGTGTGAGCATCAGGGAGATAGCAGCTGATATTAGAGTCTCGTTTGGATCGGTGCATAGCGTTATGAACGATGTTTTGGGCATGAGACGAATTGAAGCGCGACTTGTCCCGAGAATGCTGAACGTTTTGCAGAAAGAGCATCGCATTGCTGTCGCTAAGGAAATGCTTTCTTTGGGCCAAAATGTTATCGAAGGTATTATTACCGGTGATGAGACATCGAAACGAACCAACAATCATCGGAATGGCGCTTCTCAAACGAGCCAAAACCCAAGAAACCACGACAAAGTCGATCCAAAATCAAGATTTTGTTGACCGTTTTCTTTGATTGTCGTGGTGTGGTCCACTTCGAATTCCTTCCACCAGGTCTAACAGTAAATAAGGAGTATTATGTGAGCGTATTGAAGCGTTTGAGGGAGAATGTGCGACGCAAAAGGCCAGAATTGTGGAGAAACAACTCGTGGTTCCTCCACCACGACAATGCACCAGCGCACACGTCTCACATTGTACGCGACTATTTAACTAAAAACAACATCAATACCGTTCCACAAGCTCCATATTCACCTGATATGGCCCCGTGTGACTTCTTTCTGTTTCCACGTCTCAAATTACCACTTCGGGGAAAGCATTTTGAGACCATTGAGGCGATAAAGGAAAATTCGCAGAAGGAGCTGAAGGCGATCCCAAAATCGGCCTATAAAAAATGTTTTGAAGATTGGAAAACGCGTTGGCATATGTGTATTGCTTGCGATGGAGATTACTTTGAAGGGAATAAAATAAATATCGATGAATAATTGAACCGTTTTCGTTTTATTGACAAATTCCGGGTACTTTTTGATCATAGGGTATGTATTATATCTGCGTTATGTAACTGCGCCTAACCCCCCCTGGAAGGCGGCCACCCAGAGTCCCACTGGGAGGGCGTACCGACTTGGGGGCGACTGCCATAGCTGGTCCCAAGCCCAGTTGAGAAAAGTAGAGGGGCCTAAGCTAACTTAACCTTATTGCCACCGGCCACCCAACGCCGGGCGCGGGACGCCTATGTCGCAAGACGGATTCCCTGCGCCCGGGCTGAGGCACTCCAACTCGGCGGTAGTTTCGGACCCTAAAAAAAAAAAAAAGGTTTCCTGTCCTGTCTCTATCCTCGCCATCCTTACCCATCCACCTCCTAGAGGCAGACGCTCCTTCGCGGGTCATAGCAACACCTCTAGGTTGAATCCAATTCTCCAAAATACCTTCCCCGAGACAACAGACGTCTCCTTCGCGGGTTACAGACGATAGTTTCTCTTCCCTCCTCTCTCACTCTTACCTATTCCACCTACCTACCCCCTCCCCTCCTTTGGGAGATCTGGCCAAGTCAAATTTGACTAACGTCAAATTTGCGCCTTCTCACCGACCGTCTTCGAAGCATAATCGCTTTCGATTTATCTGTAATTCGACCTCACAATAACAAACTGAGATTTTAAATACATTTCACACCACAAACTCAATTTTTATCTTTTTCATGATGTCTTATAGTTATGTTATTCATATGATTTTCAATAAATATTGAAAAACTATTGCCATTACTTTATTCTCCCTTTCTTCCGTAATACGTTGCTTTTTGAATTATGTAAATATCATTTTTAGTTTGGTTTTTATGAGCTTTTTTCCAAACCTTAGTAAATTCGTCAAATTCGTCCGGTTATCTTCGCACAGGCACCCGTTTTTCGCCCGGCACTAAAAGGGTTAATAAACTCATGTCCTCCTATCGGTGTTAAAGCATATGATGTGAATAGACGATTAGTTTTTGCGTTCAGACTTCTTGGAATCGGTTTAGCAGGAATAGAGAAATTCTGTGGAATCATGGACTTACCTAAACCAATTTTCCGCTCGTTCTACGATAAAGTTGTGAATGACATTCACATTGCTACAAAAACTATTTGTGAATTGTCTATGAAAACTGCTGTTGAAGAGTCAAAAAAATTAGAAAAAGTAGAAGAACTCACCGTTTCAGGGGATGGAACTTGGTTGAAACGCGGTTACTGTTCCCTTTTAGGCATTTCTACTCTTATATCGTTTTACTCAGGAAAAGTTCTTGATCTTATAGTAAAATGTTCATACTGTAAAGCTTGCGAATTTTGGAAAAATTTTTAAGGTACTGAGGAGTATGATGAGTGGGAAAATAAACATTCAGACAAATGTTCTGCCAATCACAATGGGTCTGCTGGAAAAATGGAAGTGGATAGTATTGTAAAATTGTTCAAAAGATCTGATACACTTTATAACGTACGATATGGTAATTACGTAGGCGATGGAGACAGTAAGACTTACAAAGGAATTTTTGACTCTTATCCATATCAAAATTTAGTTGTTAAAAAAAAGGAATGCATAGGTCACGTGCAAAAGCGAATGGGTACGCAATTACGCAAAATAAAAAAAGATAATCCTGGTATAGGTGGCAGAGGTAAATTGACAGCAAAACTTATTGATGAATTAACAGTTTACTATGGTCTTGCCATTAGAAGGAGTATAAATACATCAGTTGAAAGAATGAAAAATGCGATATGGGCAACTTATTACCATAAAATATCCACTGATGAAAAGCTACAACATAACAAGTGCCCATCCGGCGAAGATACCTGGTGTTCGTATCAGAAAGCAAAAGCCTCTGGAACTTTGGATTCTTATAAGCATAAAAATCCAATTCCTGTAGTTGTCCAAAAAGTAATTAAACCGGTATACGATAGATTAACTGATACCGATTTATTAGAACGTTGTTTAGAAGGATACACTCAAAATAACAACGAAAGTCTAAACGCTGTTATTTGGTCTATGGCTCCAAAAGTACATTACAGTGGTGCAAAAATTGTTGAGATTGCATCTTATATTGCTGCTAGTATATTTAATGATGGATATACTAGTGCATTAAAAATTATGCAATTACTAAATCTTGAAATTGGCCTAAGCACGCTGAAATTTTCCGAAAATTTGGATTCACAACGAATATCCATAGCCAACATAAGAGCTCAACAGGAGACAAAAGAGGCTAGGAAATTGAAAAGAGCTGCTCAAAAGGAAGCGGAGGACATCACGGCAACAATAGAAGACCTCATGTACGGTCCAGGAATCGCAGATTGAAGGTAATTAAAAAAAATATTTGGTTTTAAGACGCTGACGTCGTACTATTTTTTCTTTTGCGTTTTTCTCGAAACTACTTTTTTCAAAACGGTGTACACGATATCTCAAGATCTACTTAACCGATTTGGTTAAAATTTACAACAGTTATTTTCTATAATATTATCTAAAATGTGACGTAGGATTTTGGTGATTGGGTGCCATGTTCGAAAGTTATAAATTTTTTAAACTCAAAATTTCGATGCAAATTCGAGTTTTTTTTTTCAAACAGCTGTCATTTCTACAAAAAATTTTAAAAAATTTTTCCCTACGTCACATTTTAGCTATTACCCTTTTAAATAAGAAAAAATTTATTTATTATGTTTTAGACGATGCCTAACAGAGAAATCAAGTACACCATCAGCAAGGATTTTCAAAAGAGGGTCCTACTTATCGGCTTATATCTCCGCCATTTTTCATTTTTTTTAATCGGTAATATTGTAAATTGTTCATAAAACTACTATATATATATGTGTGTAAAATAAAGATCATTTTATATACTTAATGGCAGCGTAAAAAAAAAGTTTATTTTTATACCTATTTTTCCGAGCGCCAAGGTAGTGTAACCCCTTAAGGGGTCTTCCTAGTGTGACGAACTGAAAAAACGTCACTTTTTTTTTTTTTGCATTTTCTGATAGATTAACATGTCGAGAATACCTCCACGAAGTTTCAAAATCTAGTTCTTAATATTAGCTGAGGTATACATGACTCCGAAGGAAGCGGCGCGTTCGTGCGCGAGTAGGTAAGAACCGATGTGTCCTGCGCTCGGTTTGTCGAGCCGGCGGTCATCAAGGGTCCCCGTTTGAAATTTTTGTTCCTGGGTTCGAGGAATAGGGAACAATAGAGGAACATTTGCCAATGTACAGTAGCGGACAAAAGTTTGAGACGATGATTTGTAAACCAGATTACAAACATCTTATACGCATATTGTTCTTCTATTCGGTTTGTCTCTTTGGAATAACGTAGCTGTATGTTTGACCTTCGTAACCTCAGACAGTCAGTTGTTAAATACAAACAATGTAGGAGTTACAACAGTTAGTTACCGCTTAGCATTAGCACTTGGAAACAGTGGACATTAGTTTAAGACGATCTGTGTAAAACGTGAGTACGAGTACAGTTTTTGAACATTTTGATTCTGGAATGTCAAAATCATTGTTTAGTGTACCTTTTATTGCTTAAAATTCATTTAGGTAGGAACAGACTATGGGTAAATCAAAGAATTTACTTGAAAACGAAAGGGAACAAATCGTAAGGCTGCGAAAGCAAAGTAAAACCTTCACCGAAATAGCAAATATAGTGAACAGGTCAGAAACGGCTTGTAAACAAGCTTGGTATAAATTTTTAAAGACAGGCATGTATTGCGATCAACCGAAAAACGGAAGACCACGGAAAACAACACCGAAAATGGATCGCCGGATTCATCGATTGAGCGAAAAGGATCGTTTTCGTAGTGCAAATAATATTGCTGCGGAGATAAACTATGAAAACGATACACAAATTAGTGCTAGAACTGTTAGGAGAAGATTAGAAGACTTTAACTTAAGAGGACGAAAACCCCAAAAGAAACCACTGCTGAGTTCTAGGAATCGAAAAAGACGACTTGCATTTGCTAAAGCTCATAAGCATTGGACAAGTGAAGATTGGCAAAAGGTATTGTTTTCTGACGAATCGAAATTCAATCGCGTCTGTTCTGACGGGATACGGTACGTTAGACGTCGAATTGGCGAAAGTTTGAAAACACAGTGCGTTTTAAAAACTCTTAAACATGGTGGTGGAAACGTTATGGTGTGGGCGTGTTTTTCTCGAAGCGGCCCTGGTCCGATATGTCGTATCAATGGAATTATGGACCGTTTTCAATACATGGACATACTCAAGAACACAATGTTACCTTTTGCACGCAACAATATGAGTGATGATTTTATTTTTCAAAATGATAATGATCCGAAGCACACGGCTCGGGTTGTGAAACAGTTTTTTCAAGAAGAAAATATTATCGTGCTGCCGTGGCCGTCCCAATCACCAGATATTAATCCAATCGAGAACTTGTGGAGCATCATAAAAAAGACAGTACAAGGTTATAAACCGAAAAATTTGAATGAACTTTACTCTACAATTGAAACAGCTTGGAGTAATATTACGGTAGATCAATGTAAAAAACTAATAGATTCAATGCCAAGAAGATGTACCGAAGTGATAAGAAATAACGGATATTGGACAAAATATTGAATTTAAACAAAAATTGTGCATATTTTTTTACCAAAACTTAATATTTTTTGTGTAGTCTTAAACTTTTGACCGACGAAATATTATACAGATTTCGTTCCTTTTTTTGTAACTTCGCTACTGAGCAAAATATCAAAACGAAATTTTTTTTGTAAGTGTATAAACAAATGTCTAATTAGTTAATACCAAAAGTAGAACACTGTATTTATATTTTTTATGGAAAGTAAATCAATTATTTATTTTTTCCATTTCGTCTTAATCTTTTGTCCGCTACTGTATAAAGACGATGGTTTTTAATAACAGCAACAGACGAAGAAATCGTGAACGGGTTGCTAGTCCAATTGAAAAGAGAGTTTGATGTAACTACTGGCGACTTAAGTTTGTTTCTAGGATTTCAGATAGAGCAGGACACTGACGGCGCTATCTTCTTGCATCAATCTTGGTACGCCAGAAAGGTCCTGGAGCGATACAATATGGCTGATGCAAATTCGGTGTCCAGCCCTATGGACAAATAGCAGGAGTTGATCGTGTTGGTGCATGGCATACAACGATCCGAAGGGGTACACGCACTATATAGACAAGCCGTAGGATCCTTAATGTAAAATATTTAGCGGTCGGTACTAGGCC